TAGCTAACCATGCCACAAAGGGAAAAGCGCAAGCTCAGAAAACGTGGCAAAGTAACAAAGCCATAGCCAGGATCCCCGAATGGCTGTCAAATGACCCCCAAACAGCCCAAGGGAGGTCACTGGACAAAAACAAACTGATAGCCACAGACAAATTTCAACCCACCTGTTCATGAAAGAGCCACACAAATGCAGTTGCTAGTTGGTCATACACATTTGCAGCAGTTTGCTCCGCAGGCGCTCATGGGAAATCAGAGAGTCTGGGTCTGCATCGGGGCATGCAACAAGGGGCATGCAACGAGGGGCATGCAACCAGCCAGGCGGTTCTTTCTAATGTGAGGCATGTACCGGAAGAAAAAAACAAGGTATGTAACGAGCCAGCTGGTCTTGGTACACAGGGTATGCAATTGACAGGGTATGTAGCGAATGTCCGCGCGGCTGTGTTACAAACCCCTCAGCATAACTCACTTTTGGGTGTGTGCCCAAATGGCATGAACTCCAACATGATTGACTTCGTTTTGGCCTCCCTTTTGACCACTCTAAAAACCATGAACCCCTTTTGCCCAAGCCCGACGAGCGAGCGCCCGAGCCGAAGGCCGAAGGCGCACGCGTCGTTGGCGAATTGCAGAGCGCTGGCGGCGCCCAGCCACAGGCTGCTGCTGCCGATGATCGACAGGCCTCGGGCGACCGGAGCACAACCCAATGTCCGACTACACAATCAAGGGAGCACGTCCAAAACCTAGAGGTAAACTGTTCGTCAAGCCACGTAGGTTATAAAGGGAACAACGCCCCAGCTAGTTGGGGGAAAACTACATTGATACTGTGGGCGAAATCCGTTTCGCAACACTTCGCAACCATGGTTGAAATGATTGTTGGTTGGTATTCACAGGGGCATCATCAAATGTTGTTCCTTTTGGCTTCCTTTGAAACCACAAAAAAGGGGCACCCTCAAAAAAATGCCAGACCCAGTCAATGGGAAACCATTGCTTACTGGCATTTACGTAGGGGAATCGACTCATTGGGTTTCTGAACGGTGCTTGCTTTTTTTTTCTCCGTCCAGTGGATGGCATGGACAGCCGAGGCCTCAGGGCCCCAGAAAAAGAAAGAGAAGCCGCCGCCGCGGAGCGCTCCGCGCATCTCTGTGCCCGGATTCGCCAGAAGCCAACCCAACAAAAATGCCTTGATTGGCCTGTGGTTGTCAACACCCTGTTGGGATCGATCCCATTTTGGTGGGTAGGTGAATTCACCCATCTTGGGACCTATTTTAGTGGTTGGATTGGGATGTTCACAAGGGGCGAACCGATTTGGATTTTGAAGAGCCCATGGCCATTTGTCCGTCGGGGGACGGGGCAGGGGGCCCAACCTGTTGGGCCAGAGACTGAAACCGAGACTCCGCAAGCGCTTCCAGACCTCGAGCCGTAGCTTCAAAGAAATATGTGGAGAGCACAAAACCCACGAACACGATACACTTATACTTCCCATCGAGTGCATTGGCCCTAAGAAACACAAACTTTGTGTTTGCCACTAAAAATGGTCCAGACTCAAGAAGTATAAAGTGATTGTGTACACCCCCGCATCTGTTAAAACAACGCCTCTTGAAGTGCCAAAGTGACAACACTGGTCGCTTGGGGGATTCTCTTGATGGCCATGATCAACGTAACTCCCAATTTGGGTGTGTCAAAAAAGGGGAATCCCCCCCAAAAAACAAGGGGCGACTTTCTTTCTGCCTGCCCTTTGAACCAACCTTGGGTTTCCATGTGCAAAAGTACCCGTGCTGGAGTATCAAAGACTCAAGACACTTTGGCCGGCGAATCCACAGTGCTCCTTACATCTCCCCATTTAACTTCACCCCACCAGGAACTCACTTTGGATCACGAAAGATTGATGTTCAAAACCCTTAAAGAACTGCAGCTGGAACCCACCTCATTCTATGAGGCCTTTGGAGGTTCTTTGAGGCCCTCAAAAAATGAGGTCTTGGGCCTCTAGGGTGGGAAACATTCCTCTCATTCCTTGGCCATGGAAGCGAGTCACGCCCAAATCGCTTGGTGCTTCTCTCCCTGGGCGTCCGGTCTGCTTCCAGGCCGTGCGAAGCCCCGCAGCGAGGGCGAAGAGCCCACCGAGCCTGGCCAATCGGACAACGACTTGTCAAACAAGAGTCAACATTCTAGGGGACACTTCCCCATTCTTTCCAGGGATCCTTCTTTCCAGAAAACCATCAGAACCCCAGGGGAAACAGCTGGTTTTTGAAAAGAAAGATGGTTGAAAAGAATGGAGATCAACCCCTAGAAACATGGGTCCGTCTTAAATCAGAGAACCCTCAAACTTGTTTGCCTTTTGGCTTTCCTTTACAACCATGCTAACTCCATGTTTCGGCTTCTTTTTTTTTTATGGTGAGCGTGCCTCAAACTGGTTGTCCTTTTGGCTTTCCTGTACAACCATCCTAAAATGGTTCATGTTTATTGTGACTCAAATGACAATCAAAGAGGGCTCAACATAGGATAACTCGCAAGGAGTCCTTGGTGGGCCTTTTTGGCGTGCCTTTGCCCTGCCAAAACCGGGAGCAGTTGCTCACAGTCAGTTTTGGTGGATTGGCAACCGAAGAGGTCCCCCATGCTCTTTGCCGCTCAACTCCCTAGGCGCCCAAATCTCTCATTTGTTGAGGGCCGTTGACGCCCAAGGCCTCATATGTAATTAGGTCTTGGGCTAGGGACTGGTGACCCAGAGGAAAAGCCCAAGGAAGTGAGTCCCCTCCCATTCTACCCTTGCCAAAATTAGACCTCGCTCAGGGCTCGCTTCGAGTGCAATCCCGGCAGCTGCACTGAAGTCCACGATGGAAGTTGGGGAGTCAGGCTTGCACCTCAGCGAGCGAGTCCGCGGCCAAAACTGTTGGCCCCTCATTCATACACCCCTGTTTATGAAAATGGGGGTGTTCCCCTCAAAACATGATAAATCTCAACTAAAATCAGAGACACTCCCCCTTTTTTTTGTAAAAAAATGGAGTTGAAAAATCCGGGGCGAGCATTTAAGTTTAAGGGGCGGCGACTCAACTTGATACATGCTCAAGCTGCGGCAACTTCCTCCGGGCTCACCTTTGAAAAAAGAACCCAGGACGGTTTTCAGCATTGCCCAAGCTTCAGAGGCCACCCCAAAACCACTGAGTGATCGCAGTTTCAGGATTATCCGATGAACAAGATGCAAACATGCGCACACACAAACACAAAAGCAAACACAAGCACCCAAACAAATAAACAAACAAACAAACAAACAAACAAACAAGCAGCCAGCCAGCCAGCCAGCCAGCCAGCCAGCCAGCCAGCCAGCCAGCCAGCCAGCCAGCCAGCCAGCCAGCCAGCCAACAAACGCGTATACAACGCCCTACGGCAAGCAAGTAGTGATGAACCGCCTGCATAATTCCTCCAGGCAAGTTGGCAGGGGTTGCGATAGAGGCCAAGATCAGATCCAACATGTGTGTTGGACGTTCCGAGTGACTGCGCAACTCAAACATGCTTGGCCCGACCTTCAAACCGCTGCTGGGCTGCTTCTACCATAATGTAAGACTGCGCTTTGACAACCGATTCTATCATGATGCTGGAAAGTTGGTGAATGTTTCGATCCAAACCTAGCGTGAGAACCTTGTCGAGCAGCATAGATCGTTGGTTTTGGGAGGCAGCCTTTTTTTCAGGTCTGCGTATTAACCAAAAGGAAGCCGCCCGTTTCGGGGGTTCGCCTATCTTGACACAAACCCATTTTGGCATAGGGCAAGGCTGTTTTAGGTGTTGAGAACCTTGTTCCAGGAAGGGGCTACCAGTCCAGAGTCGGGGCCAACACGACCACCCAGTGATCATGTCCGTTTTAGGCTTTGCTGACATAACGGCCCTTCTTTATAAAGTCACTTGGGCTCAAAAGAGATGGCCTTGGCTTTTCCTTGGCTTTAGTGGTTTAGCAGTCCATCATTGCTTTTAGACGCCACATGCTAATTTAAGGGACTTTTTTGGACAACTCCATCTCCAGTAGTCAACAGGTTTTCAGGTCCTAGGCCTTTTCCTCGACTTTGGGGCCTGCATTGCAGATGAGCCATGTCCTAAACGTGTCATGATTTGCTATGTCGTATCATTATGCTCACGCCACCAGCTTACGCCACCTTACGCGTGTGGAGTTTTTGCTTACACGACACATTTAGAGGTTTTGCTTACGCCACCAGCTTACGCCACCTTACCTGCGTGTAGTTTTTGCTTACGCGCTGGTCGATATGACATGACTCTTACTAAACATGTACACGGAGGCTTTGGACGCCACTCAAATGGAGATTGACCCCCAACCATCACTTGCGTGGCCCAGCCCGCATTTGAAGAAACATAAATCACTTGGCTGGTCGAATTTCAAAGGAGACCCCCCACGAGGAAACAAAGGGCACCACTGCAGGGTGTTATAGGAGTCTCTCTCTTTTCGTTTGCAAACGTCCGAAAGCCATTGACCTTTGGTTCTAGATAACTGCTTGTATGGGCCTTGCTAGGGAGTGGAACAACCTCCTAAATGGTCAATGGGGGGCGGCGGGGGGGCGGGGCAGCCTCTGGCGCGTCCAGAAAAGAGTGGGCCACCCAAAATCCAAGTTCCAATTCGACAATTCCAAATTCAATCCAGTTGCCCGTAGGGAACACCCTGGAACAAGTGGCTGGCTGGTTGGGTTCTGTTCCTCACGAGGCGTGCCGATCCAGCAAGTACCCGATGATATTTAAAGGCCTTCGAAAGTGAGCACAGACTGAAGAAACCCACATGACCATGGGTCAAAATCCAAAAAAGTATCCCCAATGAACATCCCAATCCCCCCTGAAATAGGTTATCCCAGTGCTTTTGACCAGCCACATTGCACCTCCGACCTGGGGAGGTCTAAAAATCTAAACTTCCTTCTATGAGGTCCAAGGGGTCGATTTCAGGTAATGGTCAGGCAGTGCATTCCCACAGCCAGGACCCGGCCTTCCCAAGACAAAGGTTGGCAGCTCCGGTCAAGTAACTCAGCGCGGTGCAACGAAAGCGGCAACAAGCGAAGTCTGAGCAGTTCGCCGAAAGCGAAACAAGTAACTCGATCCTTGACAAAAGCGAGCTGGTACTCACTTGCCCAAAGGACCTGCAAATAAAAGGTTAACCTTTTGGGACCTCTACTAAAAAAAACAAAATAATGGGAAAACCAAAAGGTCAAAAGGTCGATTCGCTTTGAACAACTGAGGGTGTGCTTGCACCCCTCGAATTGGGACACAAGTCTTTCTAGAAGAGGGCGTCTCGCCAAACCCTTTCTGGCGACCCCGAAAGATGAAGCCAGTTCCGGAGGGCGCAACCCAGGGGTTGTGATTCCGGGGACAAAGGCAAGTTGGACCTCGGAATCTGAAAGTATGTAAGGGTCCTTGGGTTCTGAAAATATTGGTTCTGAAAATCTGAAAATCTGAAAATATTGGTTCTGAAATGCAGGGTCCTTCGGATGAATCCAAAGTTGACATGAAACGAATCGCTACATTGCTACATGGCCTGCCGGAAGCAGACAAGAACTCTCTTGGCACACTCCTTTGCCAAATTGGATGGAACATCATTGCCCACGAAAACACACAGCTTAAGTAAGTTTCTAGTCTAGACTGGAAAAAGGGCCCTGGATTGAAGAACCAGAGAACATGCTGAAAAGCATACAATGCCTGTGCAATCCGAACTTTCAGGGGTCTTGATGTAGAGTCTTGGAGACTCCAGCTAGGTTGGGTCTGGTTTTGTGATGTTTTTTCCCGCGGCCCGCATCCAGAATCAAAGGGCACCTCCTAGGGGCCAAAAAAGAAGGGGGCTGGCACTCCAGAGATGGTCAAGACTCATGGCCCCAGTCGACATGGGCACTTTGGTGAGTCTGCAACAAACTGCCAGGCAGCACTGCCCGTTGCACAATTTGAGGGGTTCTAAACCTGTGGTCAAGCACAAACTATGTTTTCTAATCAGTCTAGACTGGAAGGGGATGGAGTGAACAACCAGCTAGGTCCTCCAGTAGAGAGCATAGAATAAGGGTACCAACTTTCTTCTTTTTAGTCTATTGTCGTAGGGAAACCCTCCCAAAAAAAAAGGGGCAACAGGGCACCTAGCTGGGGGACCTCGCCAGGGAACATGCTCAAAAAGCCCGGGGCGAAAAGTTCGAAAAGCACTGCACCCCTGAGCTCCCGCACGAGATTGCGCCGACTGAGATCGAGATCACGAGATCGAGGTTTTCGAGGGATCGATTCCGATTCGGAGCCCCCCAAAGCCCCCCCCCCCCCCGAAGAAACCGCCCCATGGCCGTCAAATGGCAGAATAGTCCCTTAAGGTCATTGCCAGAGCATCGACCATAAACCGCTGGACACCGGCTGGAAACCAGAACCACCACACCACCACTGCATGCGAAGATCCGCGCACACCCGCGCCCTCGGCTCAGGCCCTTGGCGATTTGGATCTGGACCGAGCAATTCAGGTCTTTGCCAAACCCCCGTTGCAGTTCTTTCAAGGTACCCAATGGACACGGGGCAACCTTTCTAAGGGAAAACCCTTGTGGTTACCACAAGAGGATCCAAGATGTTGGGAACGCCAACAAGTATCAAGTTCAGAAACTGCGGAAGCGAGTATAGCAAGGGGGAAAGGATATATGGTTGGCCAACTTGAACAATTTTCTACATTTACCAGCTGACTTTTAGGTGTATCCTTTAAGGGAACCTATATGGGCTCTTTTCAACTGTACTCTCCAACAAGTGTGGTGTCCTTTTTGATTCCGTTGAAACTACCACGCCACACACACACACACACTAATTCGATAAACCTGGTAGAAAAAGGAAACCTGTTGGATGCCCAGCGAAGAGAATGCCACCGAAAGAACCAGCGGCCGACTCCGGACTCGACTCTGGGGAGTGCGGCCATAGACGATCCCATCTGTGTGAGTTGCAGAATCAGCACCAAAGAGCCGCAGCGACTGGGGCTCCTGAAAATCCAAACACGGATGCTGGGCCGAACGGCTTCGCAAAATCGGGGTGAACTGGGTGCCCTCCCAATCCCTGATGGGGCTGGTTTGGGCTGTTTGGCTTCCTAAAAAACTGCCTGAAATCCAAACCCGTGAAGGCGACCCACGTTAAGGGCTCTCTAATTTACATGCCCAAACGGCTCCGATCTCCAGAAACCGACAAAGGAAGGAGCCAATGAACAAATAAGGCTCCAATGGACAAATCCCTAGCCCAGCCCAAGTTGCCAGCTGAAAGTTCTCCACTCACCACTCCAAAGGCTTGACCGCTTGATTTCCCAAAAAGTTAAAGTCTAAAGATCCAACCCAATAGCAGTCAAGAAGGGAACTCCTTTCAACCCCCCCCAAAACCATCCAAGGCAACCGAGGGACCCTCTTTCAAAGTTCGATTAGTTTCGATCAAGCCAGATTCCTCGGCTTGGGTCACAATCAAGGTATTCAAGCGGTCCACCTTAAACTTCCAATTTTACAATAATTCCAAGACCTGAAAGAATTGATTCCCAATTCAAGGACCAGCATGGTGGAGCTCGTTTTACCCCGAAAGCTTTCGAGCACATTTGCAGAAATCATCAACAGGGCGGATATCCACACCCATTTGAGTGCCCCCTTTCGAATCAGGCTACCCGCTGGCCCCCTGGGGTCGCTTCAGGGACAACTGGAAGAAAACTCATCATCTGAGGGACCCATTTATGGAGCCCTGACCATTGGTGGAGCAACTCGAGTAGAGTGGTGAGGAAATATTAGCAGCCACCCAAAAGCTTAATCGGAAATCACCCCAAAAATTTGAGGGTCCAGGCAAATCTGTCAGTATCATCATCTTGATCATCCTCGTGTTTCTCCTGTTCTAGCGAGTGCCCAGGGCGACCTGAAACGCTGACCACAAAACCCCTGGTCACATGGCGGGTGGTTGAACCATGGTTTAGCATGCGTCAAAAGCGCACCCCTGTCACTCTGCGGGCTTTGATTGGGCATAACTTAAGTCACGATCAAGACCTATCAAAACGGTTCGACTCAGACCCACGCAAAGAACTCATTGGCCGGATCTGCGCCTGTTTCGGGTGGTTGTTGTCCCTTTTTTCTAGCCTTCATCAGGTTTGAGAGTGGCCCCACTCGTGTCTCACTCTGACTCCTGACGAGCGAGCCCGATTTTCGGAAATCCTCAGCAGCAAAGGAGATCCAAAGCTTGTACAGCGCAGCACCGGCAGAGTGAGGGAGAGCTCTCCCGTGTTTAGCCTGGCGAGTGATTCCGGTCTCGGATGGGCGGGCGTTTTTGTGTTTGTTTGTCGAGGGTAATGATGGGGGTTGTATTGCTTTTGTTTCTTTTGGTTGGTGAGGGGGGCTATAGTGATTCCATTTCTTTACAACCCTTGTCATGCTAGCAAACAAATACAAACAACTTGTTTGTAGCGGTGAGCGATGTGATCAGTTGCCCATCAAGTGCTACGATACCCGGTGATTCCATTTGCCGTGCAATCCTTCAAAACTGATCAAGTACAGCGGCAAAAATGGGCTAGCTGAATGGGTTAGCAACTCGAACTATAATTGTTTTCCGGGTGGTTAGCTGGGGGATAGCTAGCGGTTGCACCAACCCCTAATTGTACCACTACCCCAGTGATTCCATTTGCGTGTACAGTTGAAAACCAAGGGAACAATCCTTCAGCACTGGAAAACCAGCGAAGAGAGAGAATTAGGCCAAGCATGATTCTTGGATGATCGATAAGCTGTAAGGTCAACTCTGGTTTGCAGGATGGCGAAGTCTGTCTATCCCAATGATGGAAAACCGAAACGACCAACCTACAAGTAGCAACAGCTAAAGCCGAGGGATCAGAGTCCTGCCAACCCAAAGAAGGACATCTGTTCACCTTAGCCCTATTTGGTTTGGCGGTTTGGTTTGGTTAAAAGCACCTTCCAGCCTTCCCCGCTTGGCCAATCGAAAAAACCCAATCCAGACCACCGATTGGGGGCACCTGACATGTTTTGGGTGACACCTAGAGAAAAGCCAGAACTTTTGAGCCCTGCCTCTCCGAAAAGCTGCTCAGAACGCGGAAAAAAATAGAGGGGCCCCAGATCGTTCTGGGAAACTTAGCAAGTCCGTCATGTTTCTATGAGATTCAATTCGCTGAATTGGTCATTGGGTCACATGCTGACCTCTCTTAGTTCACTGGGGTTCATTGGGTCAGAGGTTCCGAACTCAGACTTAAAATATAGGTGTTCAAGCTTAAACTTCATGTTCAAAGGGGGTCGAAGGGTCGAAGGGTCAAAGGGTCAAAGGGTCAAAGGAAGACCTCAGGTAGGTCTACAGGAAAGCCACCAGAAATTGAGAAAAGCATAAAACTGGTCCCCTCGAGCGGAACACTCACTGAGTGTTTGAGTGTTTAGGGGGGGCCGTTGAAGGGCACAGCGTCTTAAACCAATATGGCATTAAATATGTGTACTTGTCAACCCCTTTGACAAATAAAGCCCTTGAAGATATGTGCAAAGGCCGTACCCTGTAGATACCAAAAGACCCAATAATGATAAGCCTCAAGAAGCGTTTTGCATGGGCGGCGGTCTGTTTCCTGCTTCAAGGTTCGAGGCTCTTGACACCGGTCAGGAAGCAAGGCAGCAGCAACATCGGCATTGCGTCCGGGACCGCAGGGCTGCTAGCTAGTTTCCTACTTGGTTGAAACTTGTCTTACCTTACAAGCCCCAACATCCTCCATAGAGTCTCCGAGTGGACCAGCGGACTCCATGGGCGTGGACTGAATGTGAAAGAAAGCCACACGTGTGAAAAGTCTTCTTTTTAAGGAGCACCACATGGTCTTAAAAGCAAAACCATATTTTGTGGGTTCCGATTCCTAAAAAAGGCGAGCCACCCGTATGTCCTCGCATTTGTACCCTCTTGTGTCGTCTAACTGCCTTTTTGTTCTCCCCGTTTTCCCTCCGCAATTTAGAAATTGCCTCTTGGAAGGGCAAGAGCTTTGCCTGGGAACTGGACTCTGCGCCCTGGAGGCAGTGCGTTCCAGTTTCCCCATTGATCTTGTGATCAAGGGGTAATTTTCTAAGCCCCATGGCTTATGGCTTGCCTCTGATGCCCCAGGAAGCAAATTGGCCCCACCAAAAGACTGGGGGTTCTATACATCTTCCGCGCCTGGATCTACGAAAGAAATAACCACCACTACCTAAAGAACCTTGTTCTGGTGTTCCTGTAAGGGGGACTGGGTGGCATTTCACATACCCTACCACCAACCCGATAAGACCGCAAAGCAACGGAGCGCGGGCCTGCCGCTGGTCACCAGCAAAAAGGAGTCTGGCCAGGCAGAGCCTGACCGCTGTCGTCCCAATTTCCGGCATGAGCTGAAGACTCGTACCCCAAACATGGGTGCGGCTGTCGTCACGTCCCCGACCAACCTGAAAAGGGTACGCACAAGTTGCAGAGATTTTAGATTTGACCAATGGAACCGGACAGAAGGAATCATTGTGAAGGGCAGTGGCGAAACGCAAGGGATCCACTGGGGCTATACTTGGAGAACCTTTTGGGAGCTAAGCATTCCCACTTCCGTTCTCGTAGGCGTCCTGTTGAAACAATCGCCCGATCGCCAAATGATTCGAATCCCTGAAAACACGCAAGGAGAGCCCACATGAAACCAGAGCAAAATCCCATAGCTTAGAATAGCTTCCCCATAGACATCCTGAACCAAACGCCGGGGAAGAGCGAAGGCGCGCCTGTACTGGAAACAGCAAACGCTCAGGAAATGACATGAGTGAGGTGGAGCGAAGTACTTACTCTTAACCCAAGAAGGGCATCACCGATCGGGAGTTCTCTCCAAACGAGTGTGTCGTGTTTTCGGGGACCAAGGGGTACCCTCAAAAAGAGGCAGACCGACATGAAGGCTTTTGTCAAGGGTGCAGTGGAGTACTGGAACCTCAAACTACCCTACGTGCAGGTGGGAGATTGCCAAATTCATCAGTGATTTCCCCGAAGGGTGGGTATATTGCTTCCCTAAAATGTTGCTAGTAAACCAACAATCCCAGAAAAGCCCTGCAACTTGGTGGGCAATTGTGGAATTCATCCATGCTCCCCGACCCCCCCTACTCCAACACACTTTTGTTTCTTCCCTGCGTATGCTTTGAACCTGGTTTCCCATTGTAAGCACCGCCTTTTTAGTGACGGGCTAACATAATTGGAGTAGGGGCCCCCCGTCCACCCGAAATCCTGCAATAAAAACAAAAAAATGTTAAGAAACAAAAAAAACATCCCCTTCGACAGGAGCGAGCTCGGTGCTTTCCACCCAAGGCGCTTCTGAGCAATGAGGTCAAGCCGAGATGAGCATAGCGCAACGCCTCGGCGTGGTTTCTGTGGGGTGGGACCATGAGTCTCCCGAGGGTCCCTTGGAACCTCGATCCGGATGGCTTTTGGGGGGGGAAAGGCGTCGAAGTGCATAGAAGATCAAAGGTACTTGGACCCTCTGGGGACAATGAGCTTTGGCGTTGTCCCATTTTTGAGGGACCCCTCGTGGTTGGCTTTCTTGTGGTGTAAGTTTCTCTTTGACAATTTGAGATTAAGGGGCTTCCCCAGACAAAAACATAATAACAAAAACACCCTCCTTTTGGTGGTTTGGTTCAGGTCCCTCACCATGTCCCCGATTTTGACACAAGTTCTGAAGGGCCCAACATGCTTCGTCCCTTCTCCGACCTAGCCCCTAGGGTGTGCGAGCTTAACAGCTCAACAGCACAACAGGGAAGCCTAAAGGATGCCTAAGGGGCTACCTTGGCTGAGCATTTCCTATGGCCCCTCCAAAGTCCAAAAGAAAGCTAGGCTTTTCGAAATACGCCTAAAAAAGCGGCATGGCACGGGACGCCTGGACCCTCGCAGAAAGAACCTGTGAACCCCTAGCCCGTTAGCCCCAAGAGCCCATGTCCCGCCGGATATCGTTTGAGGGAGCCGAGGGAAAAGCACCGCATGACAACACAAATCCAACAGAAGCCTCCATCCACAGGCGCCACTGAATAATACATATAGAATATATACATACAATACATTACGATATTCAGACGGTATGCATTATACCAGTCACTGAAATTTGACCTTGTAACCCAAGAACTTCACCTCAAGAACATGGGTGTGTCTCAAATGGTGGACCACACGCAGGGCCCCGGATTCCTTTAAAGTAGGTGTCCCGTTCAACCAACTTAACACAGGGCTCCCTTCCTCAGTGGATTGGCCAGACAAGTCAGATTATGTTGTTTGCCACCATAATAGTCGTCCCCCAAAAGTGTGAAGCCCCGCATCTTGTATCATACAGATTTGAGCCTGACGTGCTCAAACAATGTCTTTGGCAGGGTTGTTCGCCGCAGTGCTCAGTGGTCTCCGAAATTATGAACGTCTAAGGTCTCTACATGCAGCAAAGGAAACAATGAGTTTCTTAAGCTCATGGTCAGTGGACTCTTTTGCGCAAGAAGCCCGCCTGTTGCTGGTTCAAAGGTTTGGTACAACATTTGATAGAGATCTGTTCAATGATGATCTAAACATTTGCCAGTTCCTGCATTGAACATTGACCAAGTTTGGGCTCCTTCTATTAGACCTAGGTTTTTTGGAGAACACGCCACAAGTCACTTTAGTCTCAGTCGGGGTAACCAGGCTCCAAAAGGACCAGTATGCACCCCTCACCTTTGAGCTGGGTTGGGACCGGTCCATTTGGACCGGAAATCACTTTCATGTCAATTTCTCAGACATCCTCCAGAGATGTCCTATGTGGCATTCCAAACCTTCTGACGGCTTCCGAATCCCAGGTGGAGCCCGCGGATCCACTGGGGGCCTTAAGGGACTGGGTTTCTGGGGGTAAACAGGTAGACATCGCTAGGTTTCTGCCCTTCGCGGACACGATGCGGCTGTCCGAAAAGTACGGCCTGCCGTTGGTTGGTTGGGCTCGGTACTCAGATGCTTAGGGCATCTTATGGCAACCTGGAAGACAAAAGGCAGCAAGCCTCTATCACTGTGTGCTTTCTTTTTGCGAGACTTAAGCAAATGGGGGAAAGACCTTAAGGCCAAAAGCCTTTAGGATTGGGCTTCACGGTGGGATGGTTTTGAGGCGTGAGTTCCCTTGGTCAAAACGTAGCCTTGGCTGGCGCCCTTCGATCTGCTTGACTTCCGTTTCTCGGAGAAACCCGTGAAAAAAAAACGCTACAAAGTACTTGTTCACACCAAACCTAAAATGAGGAAAACATCCCACGAACAAATATAACATAATAATAATAATAATATTAATAAATAACAATAATAAATCATGACAATGAAAAAAGAACCTGGAGGTGCCGAAAGAACGTCACAGTCCGGGCCCCAGGCGGACACCAAGGCGTCCGTTTGAGCAAAACCTCTCAGCAACGACCCAGACCTGAGCCGCTGAGCCGCTGTGGTGCCGAGGAAGGTTGATATGGGTGTTACGAATTTGTGTTTGTTTCTTTTTCCCAGGTACCCCTTCTTTGGTGGTTTCAAAGGGAAACCAACAGGACATATGTAGAAATATGGGGCCCCAAAATGGGTGTCCTTTTACTTGCCCTGTAAACCACCCCAAGAAAGTATATACCCTTAATAAAAGCCACACCCTGATGGTCATGTGCTCCGGTTTTATCATTCAGGGGGTTCTGAAAAAGCCGCAACCAATTTGTCCTCATCCCGAGTGGTTGCACTTTGGAGAAGGGGGCTACATGCTTTCTTTATGCATGGGGAGCACGCAATTGTCTAGCAACTTGTATGAACCCAGTGTAAGCCCTTGTAAGCCCTTAGCTCCTCATTCAAGTCAGAGCGTTCGATCTTTGGGCGTCTGAACAAGTCACTAAGGGCGCCTTGTCGTTGCTGCGTAATGCCTTCAAGGAGCCTCACGATCGGCTGCCACATTGGCTCCGGACTGCTTCACCAGCTTGACGTGAGGTGACACACATGCATCTCCAGTGTCCAGCTTCCATCAGGGTCGGCTTGTTCAAGCGGTCTCCTGTTGGTTTTCCCAACTTTAGATGCCTACCCCTGGGCGTTTAATGCTTAAGCTAACACTCGAACATACGTAATGCTCCCCTAAGCAAACACTGCTGAGCTGATGGGATGTCGAGGATGTTTGCTACAGCAAGTCAAAGCTTGCGAACCAACTGCTACGCCCCCCAAACACTCAACCAGAAAACAACCAAGCTGTCATAGCACAGAAGAGAAGCCTGCTTTGCTTTCCTCACTTCCTGAGTTCATTAAACAAGTCCAAACCTATTTCTTGCCACGAAAACTGTTAATCAAAACGTGGGGGTTGATCAAAGGGTCCTTTACATGGGGTGACCATTGGGAAAACCACCTCAAGAAAAATGACGTTCAACCTGGGAAGAGTTATCCATGGTCAAAACTGGGGCCCAAAATGGAGTAGTGATCAACCCCCGAGAAAAAAACAAAAAAACAACAGGCAACTCCGGGGGTGAGGAGATGGGCACGCTGGGGTTCCCGGCTCGAAGTTCGCCGTGCTCAGCACAGAAGCAGAGCGACCTGTCAGGCAACCAGGACCGGTTTGGGTGTGAGCCTTGGAGCTTCAGGAACCCGAACGCGGACCCGCTCCCAAGGGCTTGGGTTGAAGCCTTAGAGGAAACAGGGGTCGGTTCGGCGAAGCACCGGAATTCTTCCCTGGAATCAACCAATTCCACTCGCCCAAGCTCCATGAATCAGCACGAGAAATGGTGTTCCGAAACAGAGGGGACTCTTCAAGACAAGGTCAACCCCGGATTGATAAGCACTGATTGATAAGGGGGGGGTGTTTCATCTCTTTTGTGGGTGACATCCCTCTACATCAACAGGACGGGCATATTCATCTGGGGTCAACATGAGGCGGCCGCTGTTTCTGGAGCCAACTATTGACTGTGCCCGATTCGGGTGCAGTGGAACTGTAGGCAATTGTCTGAGAAACATTGCACATGGACATGTAAGGCGCGGAATAAACTACCTTCTCTAACATATGCTCTTTGTAAACCGGTCCAAAGGTAAGCATGTTTATGATGAGTCCAGCACAACAAACTCAGCGGAAATACTCTAAGCGTCATGACCGCTCCAATGCACACCCCACAAAAGGGACCTCTTATGGAGAACCTGTGTTATTCGACACCAAGGATCTTAAAAGCAGACCCCAGTTCCATGCGATTGTTGGAACGCATCACACAGATAGTCCCTTCCAACTCATTGGCTTTATGCCAATCAGGTTAGAGGGTCGCCCAACTACTTTGCGGCATTTTGGCATATGCCGCCATTCTTCGCATCAGACACCAATGTTTGTCAACTGAGCGTTGCGTCTCCCTTCCCTCCACAGCATCCCGAAAGGGTCCGTTGGGACTCGTCTCGCTTGAGCCCCCGGCCAGCACGGCCCCAGCCCGGCAAGGGCAGGGAAGAGCCAGGGTATGCGAAACTCCTGGCCGATGCAACTGATCAGCTTCCCTCGTGGATTGGATTGTGAAGTTGGGGGCTGGTTTCCCATTTACCCTCTACAAGAAGGGTTTACTTACTTGAGTAGGGTCCTTAGTCGCCGGTTCATGTTATGCACGGTGCCTACCTTGTTAGACCTGTTCCAAACCCCTCCATTGCAAATCCCAATGATGCTTGTGATGCTTGTGTCTCGAAACACCCGATGCGGCGTCAAGGTCCAATGGGAGCAAACAATTCACCTGGTGCAACAAGTCAATGCTTTTCTTGAATGGATCTAGCGGGTCTAACCAAGCCTTTCGGAGAGCTTTGCTAGCCCATGGGCTCCAACTGATCAAAGGCCACGTACCCCCTTCCGATGTGTGCGTTTGATGTTGTTTTTGGGTTGCGGAAAAAAACAACTTGTTGAAGGTGGTGGCGTCCAAAAGCAGTATTCAGTTCTGCCATTGCGTTTGATGTTTTGTGGGGTCGCAAAAAGAAAGCCAACTTGTTGAAGGTTCTGCATTCTGGAGCAAACGGCCGAACACATGTTGGATGTTGAATGGATCCACTGGACATTTGTGGACCTGAGCAGAAAACCGATCACTGTTTGGAGGTTCAATGGTAGATTCAATTTCGAAAAAGACCATATGGCCCTTCTTAGCTACCCCTGTGGATCCCAGCCACTATAGCAGCGAGCCATTAGCCTAAAGGTGGTTCACCTGGCTACCGTAGCCATGGAATCGCTGGGCATGATTACTAACCATTTACCTTACGTGCCGAATTGATCGCCCCTAGCAAGGGAGATCCGGCTTCTGCTCGGTTGAAGTCTGAGAGCCGTGTCCGTGATCTGCCTGGAAGTGCTCCCGTAAAATGGGGAGACCAGCTAGGTATGACTTACAAAAGGGGAACCCTCAATTGGCCTCCCTTTAAGCCAACCCCAAAAAGAGTACCCGCAAAAAAAACAAAAAACGAGGACCCACCGGCTAGCAGTTCTTTTTGCTGAATCTACGGGTCCCCGCCCTTCAATTCGTTTCCCATTAAACCCCCCAAAAGCGCACCCAGCAAAATTTCTCCCCGCCCGCGGGCTTCAATCTTCTGGCCCGCCACATCGGCGCTTCGCCCCAAAACGCCCACGGTTCTGCTTCGTGGCTTGGCTCGGGGCGTTCCCTTGGTTACCTCGGATGGTAAGAGATGGAAATCAGCCCCCTAGCCTCCCAACTGGGCTCTTAGAACCCTCAAAACGGTTCTTAAAAGGGGCTGGTGGGCCCGACCAGCTTTGCCGTATTGAAACTTACGCTAAAGATTGGACAAACCCTGACTCTTGCTTGACCCCCGCCTTTTCTTGTCTTCCCAGTGCTCCAAAACATGCCATGATTCAAACTCCAAGAGCAAGCCTTTCCAGCCTGACAAACAATGAACACCTAGGAGCAGGGCACCTGGTAAGTCCCCGAGTGGGTCATAACCATGGCTACTCACCACTTACTAAGCACCCTGCCCCTTCAACTAAGTACTTGGAGAAAGTGAGGCCAGACCTCCAACGTGAAACAACTTGACCTTTCGACAAAAAGCTCTGATCCGGATGATTCTCTGCAAAAGGAATCACACACACACACACACACACGCGCGCGCGCAGGTACACGCCATGGTTAAAACCCCTTGTATAATCCATGGACTGGTCAAACCGAGCTTAATCCTCATGCTTGGCTCGCCCGAAGCTCCCGAAACACGGTGGATTCAGCAAACCCAATCAGCTATACATGGGGGTTGATCAAAAGATCCTTTACATGGGATGACCATTGGAAGAACCACTAGAAAGATGATAATTGCATTGCTATGCAATGGGAAACAAGTTACCCATGGTCAAAACTGGGGCCCTAATATTAATCAACGCCCACCATGCCTGGGTCCCCCCCCTTTTCCCTTTTGACAGCATCCCCAGATCCCCTCCCAAAGGCCCAAAGGCAGGTTTTACTTCCGTCCTCATAGACAGAGAGGAGCCTAGCTCGGTCCATTCCTCAAGCTGCGGTAATTGCATTGTTTGTGCTATCTATGAAAGGCTGAATGAATCAATGGCTACACCGATGGAATTCACCGGCTATGGCCTAAATCCAGAGTCGAAAAGGGGTATGGTTAAAAGTAGTCGAAACACTGGGCCTTGGACACAAGCTGCGGTCAATATGTATTGTCCCCCATGGGTTTCCCTTTGACACAACCTGAAAGTGTCCCCAACTGGCATAGCTAACCCCCCGTTCCTGATTGTACTTTGGTGAGTGTACCATCTCATGTGCTTTGCTACCGACAGTAAATGTTGATTGTTTCCCTCAAAACCCCCACGGCGCGGTTGGGAACAACTGGTGTAAACAACCAGACTCTCGCTCTAAGGGGGAGAGCAACATGACAACAGCTGGCGTTTTCTCTTCTGTTTTTTCCCCTCGTGTTGAAACAAGGGGTTGGAACCCAGGTGTCGAAACAGCATTTCAACCGGGCCACAACGCATAGGCTGGTCTGCGACATGAACTTCCACGGCCATTTTGAGCCGCTCTGTGGTTCAGTTCCAAGGATCAAGCCATTGGCTAAAGGCCACGAGCTGTGGCCTTAATTGGCCTGTCTCCAGAAATAACATATTCAGACGCTATTTCATATTTGGTCCAACGGCTGTAGCCCCATCAGTGCCTGAACCCGTGTCAGGTTGGCACCTGCACCCATCGCTCATTTTTAGTTTACCCCAAGCTTGGAGGAGACCCCCCCCCCGGTATAGAAGGTCGCCAAGGGCACCCTTCGTAAACAAGGACAATGGCTGGCTAGCTGAGCGAAACGCCTCGGATCCACGAGGGGGTGATATCTCGCTTCTATGTAGGCTATGAACAACGAAGCAGCTCCCATAACCCAAGACAAGTCCATGCCCTCTGTTGCTTACCAGGTGGCGCTTCTTACAAAAGTAAATGCCTTCGGAGGCGGTAGATGAGACATCAAGAGACACATTAAAAATGCAGGAACCCTATGACTCCTTCAGGAAGTCCTTCCAATTTCCGTAAGAGAAACAGGCACCCTGCACCCAGAAGTCTTCGACGAATTCGCCTTCGCGGATTCAAGTTGGGCAAAAACAGGAATCGAAGGCTAATCAGGGATCCGGATGCATTATACACCTGAACATTGCAACTTGTAAATGGTGGCGTCCCTTTATTTTGGTGGACAAAACCATGTTTCAAATGGGCAAAATGTACTTTTTAAGGAGCCCTGCTAATGAAGGCGGATTCCTGTGACCTATCTCGTAACACCCTCCCCAGTTGCTGCTGCGTTCGCGTCTCACTTTGATAGCTCCGTCATGATTTGAGAGCTGCCCTCCAGTGCTCGCGAAATAGAAGGACACACATTGGGGGCATGTCTTGGCAAAACTGCGGGTTGAGATTTTTGTTGGGACTCGAACAGCAGACACACTCAAAAGGGATCCGGCACAGTGGCCGCACAAAAAAAAAAGCCCACTACCTCTGTAGATGGGCTACATACAAGTCCAAGCTGTTCGTTCACCACAACAATCGGCTTCCCAACAAGCAGGATATTGGGTACTGAGTTCAACATGTTGAAATACCTGTATCACCTATTTGCACCGGTTGGAGTGGTGGTCGCTCAATGCCAAAAACACAGCCCCTTCTGGGCGAAAACGCCAGGCCTTCACTTCCCATCCTTCGCCCATACGTCCAACTGGGTGCGCCGGCGATGACTGGCGGCTGGCCCAAGAAGCCGGTAAAGTCGCTGGTTGAGCTGACGTGCAACGCCTGAAAAGAGGTCCACGAAGGGGCAAAAGGGGGTGATGGACCTATTGTTGGGTTAATGGAAAGGCCAATTGTGTTCAAAAGGTCTCCAGTAGATAGGTTAGAATAAGGGTACCCGAGCTTTTTTCCTTTTGTCCACTTTAGTAGGGGAACCCTCCCCCAAAAAAGAAACGGTAAAAGGGCGCTACTGGGGCACCTAGTCAAACTACCCATAAAAAAGGGAAGTTTCACCAACCATAATTGTGCGACAATCGCCAATTTTTTAGGGATGTTGGGGCTGTGATACAACAAGAAGGGCTAAGCGGCTAACCCCAAAGAACCCCTCCCCTTTTTAAAAAGGGGGAGATTCCCAAAAGTATTACAGAGGTGGGGAAAAAACAAAAAACAAAAACACGAATGATCCAACAACTGTGGGGTACACCGAAAACTTGCTGGTGCGATAGGGAATGACCCAGGGATGTGGGAATGAACCTAGGGATACCTAGAGATTCCCTCGAAAGGAAATGATAGGGGATGGTTTGTGGGGCATTCCCTCATTTCCTGCTGAGAACCAGAAAGAAAATAGTTCAGAGTTTGCCGAACATAGTTAGACTCCCCGAACATATTTTTTCGTTTTGGATGAGACTCTCAAGCCAGGAACTGAGTTTGGTCTCTCTCCGAATGCTCTAGAAAACGGTTTCGATGCTTGTGGCTCCTTGGGGAACAAAAGTATTCCCACTCCGTCCTAGATGCAATCCCCAGGGATCCGGATGCATGAGAAACACCTGAACATTGCAACTTGTAAATGCTGGTGTCCCTTTCTTTATTTGGAAAAAGCCATATGTTTCAAATGGTTGCCAAATGGAGATATTTTAAGGAGCCCTGCCCTTGGGTCAGGAGTTCTGGCTTAAATCAAAGGTGCGCTCAACAAACCTGCTCACTTTGGGTTGGTATGGATGGTCATGGACCCTTCGGTAGGGAGTTTAGACAAGCAAAAGGATGTGAACATCGCACCACTAGGCCCCCACACTCCAAAGGGACACAAAGACTCCTTATTATCCAGTTCATATCTCTTCCGGTCTTGGCCAAGCCTTCAAGACATGTGTAAACATGCGTAAACCACCATGGTTCAAGTGGTCTTCTCTGCGGCAAGCCCCTCAGAACGAAAGGCACAGGCCTGATGCTACACGCACAGACTTGTGCTGTTGACGCATTATCCTGTGAATTCACTTGACTCGCATTTAGCAACATACGACGGCAACTGGTTGGTTCAAAACATTTTACTAGATGTCTCGATTCCCTCTTTCAAATCACGGCCAAGCTTGTTTCTGGAAAGCATTGGGTGTACAAATCTGTATATCTTGCCACCCACTTGGATGCTTTCGAACAAAGCAAACATCGGGACCCTAAAACAAGGGCTAGGTGTTCTTTAGGCATCCCTCTGAAATCCATCCGCCAGTAGGTCTTAGTTGCGAGGCAAACCTCTATGTCCGTGTTGCTCGCTGAGGCGGCAAAATCAACACCTAGCCGTGGGGAAACAAAGGCACTCTGACGTTTGACATGAGCTTCCCTCTACTTGGCCAAATCAGGGTTGCCAGAGGATCGTTGCTAAGGGAAGCTCCAAACAGAAGGAAACAGGGAAGCAACCCACTGGAGCTTCACCTAAGACTGCCGAAACGCTTTAGCCCCCCAAAAAAATACCACTGATCCAAGAGCGTTTCCAAACGCAAGAGAAAATGAAGTATGGACAACACCTTGACAGTCCCCAAAACCTGTCGTTTACCCAACTCTCTCGCTTGAAGGTAGTGATTTAGGGTAGTGGAAAACCTCTTAGTGTGAGACAAGGGCTTCTTATATATCCTCCGCTTGAACATTTACAGCCCCTCTGCCCCCGAAACCCCCCATGGTTTGGCGGAAAAGGTCATATGGCGGTGGGTCAAAAATATGTACCCAAAATGGAACCCTAGTAAATGAAAACATGGATTCAAACCTGCGGTCCCCTGAACAACATTAATAGACCCCTAAATAAAGTGTTTTCCCTGTTGTTTTGCTTATTCAAGACACCCCACAAAGGGCACCTTCCTAAAGAAAAGAAGAAACCACCAGGATATGGACCGCAGGTTTTCGTCCTTGGCTCCGTTTACCAGGGCTTCATTTTGGGAACCTATTCTCGACCCACAGCCACATCCCCCGGATGCGCCTGACAAATGGACAGCGTGCTGCCGGGCTGGGCGAAGGAGCGCGGCGGCGAGGAGGAGCCCAGGCCGGACAGGCCTCATCCGCAACTGAGGAACCGCTTTTTGGGATGAGGATGATATTTTTGGGGATGAGGCTCACCCGAGTGGATTGGCCCAAGAAACATCGGAAGTTTTTTTCCCCACAAATGAAGGCCAGGACCTGGGAAAGTGAGCCAACCCCCGCTCCAAGCACCTCTTTTCTTCTATGGCGTCAACCGACTACAAAAGAAGATAAGTACTTACCATGGACCACCGTTTCTTCTTTCCCTCATTCAAGGAGATAATTACTTACCATCGTGTTTTTTTTGTTACATTTACATGTTAACCTGCTGAAAAGAAGCTTAAGGTATTTGGAGTAGGGGAAAAGTGGCAGCCAGTGATTCGTGACGAGGGGCCAGAGACCAACACGGCCGCGCCCGCCCGCGCAGAGCTTCGGGTCGGCGATGAGGAGCCCAGGATCTGAGGGAGTGCTCAAGTGACCTTTTTCAGGGTTTCTCTCTGACAAAAGCCCCGAATATCTTGGTTTAAAGCGAAACCACTAGGGAAATATTCCTTCTTGGGGGGTGACACATCTCTCTTGGCGATTATTTCTGCTGTGCTGCGGAGCGGAATCAACTGCAAGCCCAAAACTCGCCCGAAACCAGCCTCAACTGCTACGCAATTCAAAGCCAATAGGCAGCCCTGGGTCCGGGCGAGTGATGCGCCAATGGTCCGAAGAAAGTGATACCAAAGATCTACTTTCGGCACCCAAGTATTGAAACACATCTCGGTTGCTTTCTGCTCCCCTGCTGAAAGTTGTTCACCTTTAGTGGGCTAGTTCGGAAAACCCACATTCGTTGGCAACAAGTTATTCAGGCCTAACGGCCCTTGGCAAAACTTGCACCAAAGACATTGTTCTAGTGCCACCTTCCCCATTCTTTCCAGGGCTCCTTCTTAAAACACCTCTCCGGAAACCAGGGGAAGGGGCCGGGTTTTGGACAGAACGTGGGTTGAACAGAATGGGGCTCACTTGCTGAGTGGATGGCCCAAAAAAGTCCAAACTTTATATTTACCACTAAAATGGTCTTCCCAAAAAGTTTAAAGTTCATGAACTGAGGAAGTGAGGGGGAATCAACCCTTACAATTGTTTGGACGTTTGGACATTTGGACATGGCAAAAAGCAGGCGTTGGGGCAAAGGAGGGGCGCGTGCCGGTTTGGGCTTCCTTTGGGAGAACTGGCTATTTAGCACCTCCAAGGACCTTCGCTGAGCATGCCGGCTTGCAGATATTTGCCATTTGCCAAGTCCATTAATACTTACATATATGATCTAGTAGCATTCATAGCTGTACATCAACAGCTACATTATCAGATCTGGGTGTGCCTTTTCCAAGGTCGGACCTCAAACAATTGCGATGGTCATGTAGGACCCCAAAGCAGAGGCAAACAGGGGAACCAGGTTCGTTGATCTGAAGTGACCTTCGCCTTACCGCTGTCAAGAAGACCCACCCCGGGTCATTGGACAGGGTTCCTCAAGGAATGCAAACACCACTGCTTAAACCGATTCTCCGCTGGTATTTAGGTGATGTGTGCAACTGGCCCGTAAATATGTTTTGCGATTTCCACACCACACTTCCAACACCTGGAAAGTAACACCCACAAATGCGGTAAATCCGATTGGGTCACTGGACCCGGTCGCCACCGAACCGACTGGGGATGCCTCAGCCCCGGCCACTGGGAGCACATTGAAGCGCCGCACCGTGGCACAAGACGCCGAGGAGCCTGGCCAATGTTAACAAAACACAAGTCCCTTTGCCAAGTTAACCAACCCAATAAACCGAGTACTCTCTTTTTCCACTGGAAGATTTGGCGTGCTTGAAAGAGGGATGGTCTTCCCAAAACCTTTGATCACCTACTTCCATTGTTGGACTAAGGGTACTCCCTTAATGCATCGCCCCAAAGAAAAATGCCCTGTGGGTAACCCCTGGTCATTTCTCTTTTGGGTCCTACAGGCTGCGAAACCCCTTGGCTGGAAAGAGTCGGATTCCCTGTTTGCCACCAAACTGGTATTCTGAAAAGAGTTAACTGTAGGAACTCAGCTGCTGAAAAGACGCTCCGGGGATCCAAGCGAAACCCATTTAAGCTTCAATCAGAGGTCGTTTGGGGGGTAAAACTGCTCAGAATGGATCTGTTGTTTCGAAAGTACTTTTTTTGGGTGGTGTTGCAGAAGTGGGAAATCACCACATTTGAGGGGTCCCTTGTTTTTGATACATCCCCGAATGGAACCTCGGATCCTTTTGTTTACTGGTTCAAGCCAAGGGCCAGCGGTTCTTGCGACGCTGTTGAGTATCATTTGGTCCTATCTCCCATGGTTCTTTTACCTGGACCTTCAAAACTACCCAAAAAACAAAGGAGAAGTCACCAACCATAGTTTTTTGGGGGCAACGAGCCACTTTTCTAAGGGATGTTGGTGGGTCCAGGCACGCGTAATTGGCAAAAAGGGGTACACCAGGCCTTGTGGTTGAAATGGAATCCACTTCTGTGATACAACAAAAAGGGCTAACACCCGCCTTGAAAAATGGGTAGGGATTCCCAAAAGTATCGCAGAAGTGAGAAACAAACAACGCCGTATGCAAGGCTGGCCGGTGCCTCTTCCGCCCTCCCCAAGCGCCCCCAGCGCCCCGCGCCTAGGCGCGCGGAGCCGCGCGCCAACAGCGTCGGCCCAGCGCCGGCGAGGCTCGTGGCAAAGGGCGCGGGCCCGGGGCGCGCGGAGCTGCGCGCAGACGAGGCGAGGCCCGGAGAGGAGCACTGCATCACCTGAAGCGGGCAGCGCAGCAGCGGGTTTTCCTGTGGATCTGAGGCGCTGCGCCCCACTCAATTCAAGTAGGGAACTAAGAATGTCCGGTTTGGTTGCTTGAGGGTAATTTGGTTCTCCCACTCAAGGAAAGCAACAAATATGCTTTTGGTGGTTGGTCTTTGATAAGGGTGACAAGGTCTTGGTTCCCTATGCAGTGAAATGGAATCACTGGGTGGGGAAGTATATCCATGGAAGTGAGTATGTTTCTTCCGCGAGAAGCGATATCCTATACGCTTGTGATCTTGTCTCCGAAAGTAACAAGTCTTGATCTCCATAGGGAAAAACATTGGGTCCCTGTTTTGGTATTGAGTAAAGGGACAACCCTCCAACTCACAAAGGGAAAAAGGACAGGGAAATAACAAAAAGACAGGGGCCCTACCAGGTGTCTACAAGCAAATCCCAAACAACTTGTTCTTAGGAACAATGGTTGAAAAGAAGGCAAAGGGAGTCCCATAGAAACGCACCGAAGCGACCCCAACCTATCAACGTGTTCTTCCGTGAAGGCTTATACAGTCTTGACCACAAATCGATTCACACCAGGTAGTAGAACCGCCTACTCAATTCCTGAGTGGATTGGCAAACAAGTCCGAACTTGTTTACCACTAAAATGGCCAGACCCAAAATTGATAAAGTCCATTCGCTCAAGAAGTGAGCAAAATTATCATTATTATGGACAACAGGGTTTTTAGGGCTGCAGGCTTGTCTCAAAACGTTGGGCCTTGACTATCAATGAGACGGCTGTCAACAACAAGCCTGAAGTTCGTCAACTTAACAGGGAAGCACGGGAGTCTGTCAAAATGGGGCGGGGGGGAAAAGCAAGCCCCCTCCCCCCCCCCGATAGACTTTCAATTCTTACATATGTTTTGTATATATATATATATATGGCTAAACAAAACCTGTGGACCCTCCCTGTACATTAACATTCATTAGGGATGGGGATAGTTTGTCTAGGAGAAGCCCTCAAAATGGTGTCGAACAAATGCATACAGGGATTTCCTGCTCAAGGGGTGGGGAATGACCCCGGCTGACATTGATAACCCATAGAGTGATTTGGCAACATCCTTTTAATCAACCCTCGAATGGAAAATTGTTCCAGGAACCCCCCCCCCGGAAAAAAAAAAAAAGAAAAAGACAAAACAAATGGGGAAAAATGTGGAAAACAAAAAAAACGAAACACGCTCCTCATCGGGAGACTGGTCTCCTCAAAGGATCCTCAAAATGGACGGGTGTCCAATTTTGTGTTTCTTAGGACAGTCCGCAAATGGGTATGCAAACGACATACCCGCCCAGCACAAACTTCATCCTTTCCGAGCTGCAAAGAAGAAAAGGCCAGCACGCATGTAGGATCGCAGCAGCACAGAAGATCCCAAGTGTGTAGTCCTCATGCGCAATGCATTCGACTCATCTTTGCAGGCTCCAACTGGGTGTGGCGTACGGGTATCCTTTTTGGGCTTAAGGAATCCATGGGGAACCTATATTTGGAGTATGTGGGGGACCCCTAGTTTACAAGCCTAAAGGGTAGCCACCCCCGAACGGCTATCTGTCGGCGTAGGCCGGCTTGAGGCAATTTGACAGCGATTGGGGGGCTGGTGGGTATGATGTCATGGGGAGGGACCTGATTTACTCAAACAGAACATGGAACCCAAGAACCCAAATCTTTAGAGGAGTCTTCTGTGGGCCCCCCCTTCTTCAGCGATTTGTGTCCTGCGTTTTTTTGGATCGACCGAAAGAGAATGCCCAGATTGTAGCCTTGAGATGAAGGCCCAACATCCTGTGTACTGCCCATGACTGGAAAGGAAGGTAGCTGCGAGAAGCTAGGTGCGCCACTTCAGGGCTTTTTGGGTTGGTCCGATGCCCGTCGGTCTCCTGCTTTTGCGGTGCCTGCTGCGTCCGGCTGTTTGTAGAATGCGTCTGTAGGATCTGCTTGGTATTCAGCTACATGCTACATGAGCTGCTTTTGCGGTGCCTTTGCCTTTCGCCCCCAGGCCTTGAATTCTGGTCAGCGATTTCTCTTGCCTTTCCTTTTCCTCTGTTCGAGCGTTCTTCTGCTAATGCGGCAACTAGTGCAGGGTTTCCATGAAAACAGGACTTGGATTGGTTTTGACACTGAATTGGAAAGCTCCCAGAGAGCCTGTATGAAAATGCCTTCTGTTTCATTGGTTCAGTGGATTTTGGCTGCGGTTTGGGTCTTACATGCAACTGTGCAAATAGCTACCTTTCAATGGGTCAAGGAACAACATGGGCGAATGGATTTCTCCTAGTGCTTCTCTCGCTGAAAAGAGCTTGGGAATCCCATGACCCAATCAAGGTGCATCCAAATAGATTGCAACACATGCCAGGATACTGTGGATGGACGGAATCCATTTAGCACCACCCAAGAAACCCTGGAATGATGATTCCCCTGTAAATGCCAGTAAACAATGGTTTCCCATTCACTGGGTCTGGCATTGTTTTGAGGGTACCCCTGTTTTGTGGTTTCAAAGGAAGCCAAAAGGAACAACACCATTTGGCGGCGGGTCCCCTTACAAAATCAAACACATACCCCACTTGCAAAAGAAGCCCTGACTTCGACTATGTGCAGCGAAAACCAGAGACATGGACTAGTGGGAACGGAAAAGTCCACTAACATGAACCCCACCAGAGTGACCCTTTTAAAGGGAAATAGCTTCCAGAAGTGGACAGGAGGCTCCCATTAAACCAATCTGAAAAGGTTACTGTGGAAATCACACATTCCCATTTGCTGCAAAGTGAGAAGTTCTCACACTGCATCTTCTGAACCCTCGCATCCAGGAGATACACCCACTCCATTCCCCCCCGGGACCGCGGACCGCCCCCCTCCCCCTCCCACATGCCCCATGGTTCGTCTAAATCGGGAACCTTGAAGAAGCGTGCCATTCAAACACCAGCTGATCTACAAGGGGATCCTCTAAATTAGCTGGTATGGGACCCTGAGCAACTCCTCCTATTTACCTATTCTCACCTCCCACAGGGGTGTTTATAAGGCCACCCTTTGCATCTCGGATCAAAGGGAAACCAAGCGGCCAACTTGTGTGGACAAGAAACTCCTCCAAAACAAGGATCCGTTCAAAAAGAGTCCAACCTCCCCAATAAAAGCCCGGGCCACAGCAGATGCTGACCTTCGGCACTGACACCCCAATTCTGATACATACCCATTTGTACGAATTTTGGCGAGTACACCCCATGTTCAAAATTTGTATTTTTCATGAGAGTTGCCTCTAAACCGAACCTAAGAAGGGTAGCCCTCCAAAAGCCAGCCCCAAAAAGGATACCCTGCAAACAAAGCACATATTTTTCATCCAAAAGCCAGCCCAAAAAGGCTACCCTCCAAAAAAGATGCCAGCACATTTTTCCACCAAAAGCCAGCCCCCAAAAGGCTTAACCAAAACACCCGCACATGTTCCCACCTTTTCCCCTTCGCCGAGCCGCGTCAAGGCCGAGGTCTGCGGCCCCAAGCGCGCGACGCCGCAGATGGCTAGCCCGGAGCTCGGCCGCGCGGCTCTCCGCGGCGGCGGCGACGAGCCGAGGCCCGCGACGTTCGGCGCGGAGGCGGCGGCGTCCAGGCGAGCGGAGCTCCGAGGGAAGGGAGCTGCGCGGACGAAAACGAGGACGGCGGACGGGGAACAAGGAGGTCTTTAATGTTGACCCCCAGATTAATGAACCCCATGTTTATTAATATGGGGGTGTTCCCCTCCGGGGGCGCAGGGACACCCCCAATCCGGGGCAACATTATCTTTCGGTTTGTGTGCTTGTCTTTTCTTGCTTTAAGGGGTTTGTTTGTTTGTGTTTGTGTTTGTCTGTCCAGCTGGTGGTTTCCTTTAAGGGGACCAATTGCTGGATTCCTTGCCACATTCCCGACTGAGCAGCAGCCAGTTCTCTTTGTTTGTATGTGTCTTTTTGAGAGGACAACTAAAATGAAAAGGATTATCGCCATTGAGGTTCACCTGTTTTGACAGGACGGGCAAATCTCAACTTTTGGATGGGGATCCAAACGAGGGAACTCCGAAAATGCAGGGCTGCCTACATACCTAAAAGCTAGCTCCAAATAATAATTTATTTGCCAACATTTGCCTAAACAAAAATCACTCAGCATCTCCAAATGCGGGTCAACATCACAGACAGAGGAGCCTTAGGGATTGATGCAACAACGATCCCTATACTTCTCCCAACATCAAGGTGGCTCAAGTTCAATTGGCCCAACCAATAATGTTAGAAAGGAAGATATGGGGACCCCTGGAACAAGGAAACCATTCAGTACGTCAGGCAAATAACCCACACAAACCAAGGTAGGTCCCCGTTCAGTATAGCCGTAATTACTAACCACTTGACGTACCCTGCACCTTCAAGTCATACCTGTGCGTCATAGTCATGTTTCCCTTTATAGGAACCAAGGTTCTCTAAGAAAGAATCTCATGGGGTTGATAACCGTCCCCAAGCCCAAGCAGACGGTCTTCTTCCCCACGCAAACGGTCAGTCGGAGGGGGCGGAACTCGAGATCCTTTGAGCTCACAGCGTACATCGCCCAGTGATTCAATCCATTTACCTCTCATAGGACATGAAGGGAAGCACCCTTTGAAGATTCAAACAGTTGCATGGGGGGTTCCTAATTAGGATCTTCTGAGCCGTTTTCCTCGTTCCTGGCTGGTAAATTATAGCCGTTTCTCAACGATTCATCAGGGGTGGGTCTCAATTATGGACACCAAACAAATTTTGTGGTACGGGATTTCCTTCGGATTTCGACCTACTTGGACTTTTTTGTTTGGAGGATACACTCCTCTGCTTAGCTGGTTGAGCTAATGACCCCTGGAGCCTTCGAGGCCCCAAGTCCGCCCGCCTGATCCTAGGTGAGCAAAGTTCACCACCGGCAGCAAGAGCGCATTTCCCCAACTCGTCGCCGAGAGGGCCGTCCCCACCTACCAAGCTGCAAGTCAATTTTTTGGTCGAGATCCCAGATTTCGGAAGGTAGTCCTCTAGGGGTACCTTCCATTTCCATTCTTTCCAGGCATCCTTCTTTTTCCAAAACAAAAACACCGCCCAACACCCTGAAGCAGCGATCGGTTTTTGGAAAGAAGGATGCTTGAAAAGCATGGAATTCCGGACTCAACACCGAGAATTCCGGGCTCCCCAAATCGCCTCCCCGAAACGAAGCTGTGAGAAAGCCATCGTCCCATTTCGCCGGGTCTTAGCTTAGGAAAGCCAGCCGATTGGACGGTTTGGCCGAGGAGTTGGTGCAATACCCCAAATGGGGACCTCGAAAACGGAACCCGAACACCGAGATCCTTCCGCTGGGCTGCCCGTTTTCCGATCCCCCGCTAAAAGTGACGAACTTTTAGTGGGTTCAATGGAAACTAAGAACTAAACACTAGGCTAAAAAGCTAAGGAACCGGATGGCTGGGAGCCACCAAGTCCAGAGATCCAGATCCCTCCAACTTTGGAGGGTCCAATGATGAGCTTGGGGGTGTTTCAAAAACCTGAAACTGTACCCTCTCTCCCACAAACATGGCACCTGACAGGGACCCGGTCCCTCCAAGAGGAAACTGATCTTCAAGGTACCCTCCTACCCTCCCTCCGGCGCCATGTGGGAGGAAAATGGAGGAAGGGTACCATTTGGCTGTCAAAAGTGCGCACCAAAAATGGCTTGCCCTGGTACATGGAACCAAAAACAACAACCAGCGATCCTCCTGTGGTTACATTTTGACCCATACCCATATCCAAGACTAAGGGTTCATAACAGCCAGCGTGCAGGGGTCCGAGGGAAACGCCAGGTACCTCCTGACAATCTGTTTAACCATAAGAGGATCGCCGTCATAAGGAATCCCAGCGCTCCCCATTTCAGGGACCCCGTCATAGGAAGAAGTAGCTCCCCCCACCTGGTGCGCGCCGCTCACGCTGGTGGTGCCCGGGTGGGCCGCCCCGGCGATGGACAGCGGAAAGCCCAGGCGCGCGCAGCTGCGGGTGGAGGTGGATGGGGCCGGCCGACTCCTCAGTAATGGTGGCCCTGGGATTCAAACCAGGAAAACAATGGGGGCTCATATAACCATCATTGTTTACCTGAGGATTGTCATCCAAATCGGGTCCTTGCCTTTCTTTTAATGGGGGGTGAACACTAGAGCTGGGCCTTGATTGGCTCAAGGAAGCTCGGTTGCTTTCTGCTCCCCTGCTAAAAGTGCACAATTTGTTTGTGGTTTAATTCGGAAAACCCATTAGTTGGCAAAAAGCAAAGTCCTAACATCCCTTGGCAAAATGGGGAAGGCTTGCAAAAACCCTGGCAAAATGGGGAAGGAGTGGAAAAACCCGATTTTGGAGGGTCCCCTGAATCTCCCTCCGAATTTCTGAGAGAAGTTGAGGTTCCCTTTGAAATCATGGTTGAAACCACAAGGTTTGTTGCCACTTACAGGGGAAGCGGACATTCGAATGGCTTCAGGGTGTCTGATTTTTGCCAGGAGGTCTGCGTGCTTTTGTTAACCTCCATTGGCTGAAAGGATGTTTTTCATTTTCCCCTTGTGAAACAGCAGACGCATTGGCCCCACGGGAGCAGTCAGTACATCCATATCTTTTCACTCTTCGTATCAGACATTGCCACGAAGCTTTACTTGCCACTCACAAAGGCAATCTAGGCTCACCCTGAAAACAAACAGATGTCCTTACTGCCCAAACCAAAAAACACATCAGCATCCAAGACTGTTTGTTGCGGCCAAGCCCATCCTACTCAGGCCCAAGACGCCAAAACACAAAGCGGCTCCCTGCCACAAATCCACGGTTTGGATGCGGCTGCTTGCCCACAGAAGACACGCCCACATGTTGCATCAGCTTCCCACTTGGTGGTTTGGTGGTTTGGTGCTTCAGGATAAGTTTCTCAGTTGCCCTCTACCAGAACCAGGGCTTGCAAACCCCAAACCGCCAATCCAAACCGCCAATCAGGGGTTGCCTGGATACAGGTCAACACGCAATAGAGAAACAGGGACCAGGGAGAACTCGTAGCCACAAAACGGTTTGCATCCAACCCGGTTTCTACTGCAGGCCAGCGTCGACTCCAACACGGGCGCCGAAGACCCCAGCCGGGAGGAAGATCGGATCGACAACATAGGTCCTCCGTCAGCCCAAAACCGAGACATGCGTTGCTCATAAGGAAATGGGCCCCGCCCCGGCTGCCCTCTTGGAATCTGTGAGTTCCACAAAATAATAACTCCCAAATCAAGCAAAGGGGACACCTATGCATACAAATATTGGAGAGTCGGGCCTAGGCTGATGTGGTCCAGCACCGGCAGGGAGAGCATCGCCCTGGCCCCCCTGGCCGTCTTGGTGCGCATGGACGGGGTGTAGCCCGGATTCACGCAGTCCTCGGGAACACATCCGGCTACCTCCCTCAAAGATCCCGGAAAAACATGGCAATCATTGCAATATTTGGAGGGTCCCGGAGTTTGCAATTGTTGCAATTATTGGAATTCAATTCCAATGATTGCAATAATTGCAATATTTAGAGGTCCCGGAGTTGCTATTACCCCAACATTTTGGGGTGACTTCCGCTTTTATGGGTAGTTTGAGGCTCCAGGTAGACGAAGATACCCAGAAGTTGATTGCCACAGGGAAACCAATTCCCGGGTTTAAGTCTTCTTGGGGTAGTCCAACACGGAGCCCTGCGCCCTGGGGGGTCGAGTAAACAAAAACAAGAAACCAGGGACGGTGAAGGGTTCATTGTGGGAAACCACAAGTCACTTCCAAGGGGTACAAACAGGGTACAGACAGGGTACAGAGAGCCCTAGAACCTCTTTTCCCACGGGCTGGGCCTGTTCAAAACCCAAAACAGATTGTTCACGGCCGCCCGGAAGCGCTATGCTCAAGGCACGCAACAAAAAGGGGCAAGTTCTCTGAGGGATATTTGGGGAGCCACAGCCATGGTCCAAACTCTGAAAACGCCGCAAAACTCAGAGGATATATCATAATTTATATCCTGGCAGTATTGTCTGTTGCTGAAATCGCGATATTGCGCTTCTTAAAATAGTGGACCCCTCCAGAGATCCCGAAGCAATTTGGCCGGTCATGGTTGCCAATCAATTAACATCACCTTGCCACTCACATCGCAAAAGGATGTCTGCACGTGACATCAAAAAGCGAGTATTTTGGGGGGTGCGTGTTTTATCCTGTTGACTGCTGGTGGCCCTTCAAAACAGCCCTAGGAGAGTTTATCAATTGAAGAGCACTTACCCACAGCCCTGGTTCACAACCCATGGTTTCAACAATGCAGCCACCGCTCACAAACAACAAAATGCGAACACAGTGTAGACCTCCCTCTTAGGGAGGAGGAGAGCAGCTGCAATCCAGACTTCCGCCCAGTTGCCTTTATGTTCCAGCGACTTTTGCCAAATTGTGGGCTAGTAGTGGGGTAAAGTGGCTGGACAAAAGTGGCCACTTGGGCATCCAGACTTCCCACTTCCTAATTCTAGTAAGCTATTCCTCGCCCAGAATGGCCCATTTTTTACTTGTGTCACACAAAACGATCATCTTCTTGCACCCCTTCCGTCGGATGCGCATTCTTTTGGATAAAACAGCCTAAGACCACCGCCCTCTGCCTTCTTTCCAAGCCAACCCCAGGTACTTGCCAGCATAATTCGGTTCCTTGGTTTGCTTCAACAAGCTGTAGGGGCGGAAAACTGAAAGCGCGGCGTCGGAAACCCCGGGCGATGCCCAGGTCCGGGATTGTGGGGTAGAGAAAAAACGAGTCATTGCAAAATGCGGGTCCTTTCTCCTCTATGTCAATCTCAAAACCCGGCGACTGTTGGTTCGAATCTTTGTCTTGATTCCAGTCACCACGAAACAATAACCACAAATCAATTGTTCAGCTCTCCCTGTGGATCCATTTACCCGTGTAGGTAACCCAAAGGGTCCGAGTAATTTGTGAGGATGGCTTTTGGGGGGGTTCACAACGGGTCTCATTACATGCTTAGAAGGTACTCAGATCCTCTGGGTAACCAAGGGAACCCACCCCCTGGCCAGCGCAGCGCTCGCTTCAGATCCAGCCATCGAGCCGAGCGTCCATCGCAAAGAGCGGAAGGCCCGAGCGCAGAATGCCGGGCACGAACAAAGAGGGGCTGACTCGCAAACATGTCCTGGCGAAAGCGGGGCCAGAAAACTGACAGGGTGCTAGATACGAGGACTGGCAAAACTTTAAGTTTACCCCCTTTTGCCGGATAAGTTTCATGGATGCGAGAAAGTGCCGATCAGGAACCCTAAACGGGCTCCAATAAATGTGTTCTGATCAAGGCCAAACACCTGTGTACCATCCCAAAGGAACCCAGTTTGTTAGCTCCCTTTCAACCGGTCACAAGACTTGGTACAACCAATCTGGCCTCGTGCTGCAAGTCTCTATGTTGATATTGAAGAGGATGCCAAAAAGTGTTTTTTCCCCAACAGCTGAAAGCTTTGGGTCTATGGGGCGGTTCGGGGCAGCTTTCAGGGAAGGTTCCGGAAGGGTTCCGGTGCTGTTGGGGATACCTGAGCTTATTCTCTGTGGACATGTACTGGGGGGTTGTGCTGCGCTTCTGCCGCCTGGAAGAAAAACTTTTCGGTGCCACTGGGAAACCCAAAGCACACGTCGTGGGTTTTCGTTCATGGTTTCTGGTGGTTGAAACCCTGCAAAAGGAGCATTCCGGGGTCCAGCATGTCATGAGCCCTTGCAGTTGCGCATGCTTCCTGTCTTTGTTCTCCGTATTGTGTTTGGTATGTTTGTATATATACAAAGGGAAGTCATATCATGTTAGCAAGGGAGTTCGGAAAACTAAACCGAACACACTAACATTAGTTTAAAACGACGGCTGTATATATCCCACACCCAATGATTAATGGGGCTCAAAATGAAACAACTTCTTTTGGCTGGCTTCAAAAGAATCCCAGAAAGAAACCAAGCATTGGCCATGTTCCTGGCTAGCCACAAATCCAGGTGTCCGAGGGTTTTTGGGGTAAGGACCGGTAAGGACCTGAAAACATGTTTGCGGAAGCCAGCCCTCCGTAAGGCGCAAGGTCATCACCCCACCCCAGCAGCCTCCAACGACTTGGACTTGGCTGCAACACCCAAGGGTCATGCTGGAAAGCCTCATAACTAGATAAGGGCTTAAGATTCGGTTTCAAGCAACATGCCACATCATTGAGCCCAAAGGAGCAGCAAACTAACGTGGCCAGTCAGGTGGCTTCAATCTGGCTTCTTTCTATGGAACAACTGTATGTTCAAGCAAGGCTCTTCAGTAACTTATATAAAGGGGCCCAAAGCAGGATGCAAGTCACTCCGTCACTATTGCCCTTGGCTACTGGTGGTCAGGCGTTCTAGCTAAGGGCTAGAACCCCTATGCAGAATGCTCGGACTATGCAAGGCAGAACCCAAGTTCCTTTGTTTTAAGCCCTTTGTTGAAGATGCCACAGCGACAACCTAGTGTCCAACAATACAGGGGACTTTCCATGCAGTACTGGTACTCCAGTAGGTCACCCTCCTTACCAGGCTTTGCATCTGTTTCCCCTGGTTGCGTCTGGTGTCCCGCTCTCGAGGCGTTTCCCACCGGCCAAGTCCCATCTCCATCTGACCCTTCGTCCTGGGAGGCGTAGTGAAGCCCAGCTGCAGGTAGTCGAAGGCGGGCGCGGCGGAGTCGGGTCGCGCCGTGCTGCGGAGAGGCGGCGAGGCGCCTGAGGCGCCGCTGTCCGGCGCGGAGGCGGAGGAGCTGAAGCGCGCGGCGCTTCGGGCAGAGGCGGCGAAGCCGGGACTCGCCCAGCTCAAGGCCGGAGCGGGGGACTCTGAGCGCGCCAGGCCGCACAAGGAAGCCGAAGAGCCGGCGCGGCCAAAGCTGCGAGGAGACGCAAAGGGACCAACGCCGGAGGCTGTGGGAGTCGAGACGGCCGATTCTGAGCGGCTGAAGCTGTGGAGAAATGGGGAAAACTCGGGATGCGCAAAGCGTGGCACGGGCAAGGGAGGGCCCATGTGACCAAGGCTTCGCGGCAGCAACGCGCTTCCCATGCTGAGCCCATCCACAAGGGAGGCTGACGAGCTCATGCGAACGCCGGTGTTCGGCGACAAAGACAAGCCCAAGCGTAAATGGCTCCTCACAGGCAAAAAACTGCCCGAATGCAGGAAGTCAAAGGCGGGCATGGCGGAGCCTGGGCGGGCAAAGCTTTGCGCAGGCAGCGCCAAAGCTGAGTGGAAGCACTCGAATGTGAGCGTTGAGGGGTCTATCCTGATGAAGCTTCTGATGGATGTTGCAAAGCCCGGGTGCGCGGCAGCCGGCACGGGAGCGGAGAATTCGGGGCAAGCGACGCCTAGAGGCAACAGGGAGGAGGACACGCGAGCATGCTGCCGCGGGGAAGCCGTTGAACCCAGGTGGGCCGGCTCCGGCAACAGCGGAAAAAGGCTCACGTGTGCCATGCTTCGGATGAAGGTCGGGGAGCCGACAATCGCAAAGTTCGGCGCGGGCACGGAAAATGCCGGCCGCGCGGAGCTGCGGGTTGAGGCCGCAGATCCTGAGTGCATGCTGTCCGGCGCAGGCATGGCAGGGCCAAAGCACAAGGTGCCAGGAGTCGACGTGGCTGGACTGGGCCGTGCGGGGGTTCTCGAAGGCAGCACGAGGCCCAGCATGGCGACCCGGAAGGTCGACGCCGCCAAGTCGACGCGGGCGAAGCTGTGGGGCGAAGTAGAAAGGCCCAGGTTAACGCTGGCCACCACTGGAGGCGAGCTGCCGGGCTTCAGCGAGTCAAAGGTCGGGAGCGAGCTGAGTAGGTCGCTGGTGTCCACAGCACTGGCTGAGCTTCCGGTGCGACAGTTGCTGATCGCAGGGGGGCTCGGGCCCAGGCAGCCGAAAGATCTCAAAGGCAAAGGCGAGCCAGCATCTGCAAAGGCTGGAGCAAGCATCGGAAATCCTGGGCGGCAAGGTGACCTCGTTGGCAGAGTGGGGCCAAGCCTACAAGCGCCAATGACAGGCAGCGTTCCACTGACATCGCACCGCATCGTCCCGCTGGCGGGCAAGGAAAATCCAAAAGTCGCAAGGGACCGTGCTGACAAGGAGAGCCCGAGGATGGCGGGGTCGAGGGCCGGGAGGGGCAAGCCAGGTTGGCCAGAGCTGCGAAGAAACGCTGAAGAGGCGAGCAAACCAAAGTCAGCCACAAAGGTGCGGAAGCCAAGTCGGCACCTGTCCAGAACTGGCAGACTTGCGTTCGGGCGCGCGCAACTCCGCAGAGATGGCGAAGCTGCCGAACGCGCGCACTCGGAAACAAACGCGGCAGGCCCAGTGCGCGCAAAGCTCCGTGCTGAGGCCGCAAAACCGAAAGTAGCAGAGTCCACGGCTGAGGTGGAGGGCTCAGGGCGGGCCAAGCCACACGCAAAGGCAGAAGGGCTCAAGCGGGCGAAGCTGTGGAGGAACGCTGCCGGCCCAAATTGAGCATGGTCCGCCAACAGCATGGACAAGCCCAAGCGCACGGGGGCACGCAGAGACAATGCCGAGCCAAGCTCAGAGACAGCGAGCGCCGGCAAAGAGTTGCCGGGCATGACGGGGCCGCGCACGAGCATAGATGAGCTCATGGCCAAGTCCTGGTTAGACGGCGGGCATCCGAGGCGGAACTGTGACGCGATTGAGGGCGAAAGGCCTGGCTGAGCAGGGCTTCTGGGAGGCAAAAGCAAGCCAACCTGAGAGAACCGTGCCACCAACAAAGGCGAAGCGGTGCGGACGAAGCTCCGGAGGGGAAGCGGAGAATCAAAGCTAGCAAGATCTGCGGCCGGCAAGAAAAGGCCAAGCTGAGCTCTGGACATTGCTGGGGCGGAGGCATCCGCCCGTGCTGAGGACCTGAGAGACGGCAAGGATTCGATGTTTGGGAACTCAAAGGCTGGAAGCCCTGGTCCAACACGTGCGTGGCTGCGGGCCAAAAGCGATGGCTCGGGATGCAAAAAGTCGGGCACCGACATGGCAGATCCCAGGCAAACAAGGCTCCTGACAGAGGCCGGGCTGCCTGGCTGCGCGGGGTCCAGTGCTGGCAATGAGGCCTCCGTGCATCCACAGCCGGACGTCGACAGAGAAACGTCTGCCCAAGCCAAGCTTTGCAGAGAAGTGGCTGCGCCTGTGTTCAGGTGGGTCAAGGCAGAGGCCGCAGCGCCGGGGCGCGAAAGAGACCGCGACAAAGACGGGGAGCCGAGGCAGGAAGTGGACAAGACGAAAATGAAGAAAGCCACACACGAAATGCCACAGGCCAGCAGCGACAGGGCGGGGTGCCCGGAGCTCCGTGATAACAAGGCAAAGCCCACATACCCAAGCTCCAGCACAAAGACAGCCAAGCCCGCTTGGCCAAAGGAACGCACTGGCAATGAGGCTCCAACCATGGCAGGGTCAGGCACCGGCATGACCAATCCAGGGCAGACAGAAGACCTCGCTGACAACGAAAAGCCCAGAAAGGCAGCATCAACAATGGACAGCGCTGCTGTAAGCTTGAGATTGCCAGAGCCTGCGGTCGAAATTGAGACGCCCAGCTGAACAAAGCTTTGCGCAGGGGTGGAGGACCCTGGGTTGCTATGGTCAAACACCAGAATGGCTGGGCCAGCTTACGCAGGACTCCTTAAAAGCAAGGTGAGTCCAAAATGCCCCAAGTTTACCACCAGCAGTGAGCTGCTGGCGTGTGCGCAGCTGTGCGGAGAAGGTGTGGAGCCGAGCTCTGCCAAGTCCAGGGCCGGCGCTTGTGGTGCCAGGCGGGCAACACCAGCCACCAGCGGTACAGGTCCCACGTGCGCCAGGTTCCTGAGGAAAGGCGCTGAGCCCGGGCGTGCGCTGGAAAGAGCTGGCGCAGCGGCGCCGGCGCGTGCAAGGCTCCGCAAGGACATGGCCGGGCCAGGTGGGCCATGATCCCAGGGCGGCGCCAGAGACCCGCAGCGTGCCAGGCCACAGACAAGAAGCACCGAGCCTGGCCGGCCGAAGCTTCGAAGCGAAGTGGAGGGGCCTGAGCTGTGGCTTTGGGGCAAAGACATGGAAAAGCCCAGGCGGACGTGGGATCGTGCCAGCGTGGCCGGGCCAAGCATTCCGAGGTTGGGCGCCAGCACGAACAGGCCTGGGCGCACGAAGGATCGGATGGGCATGGCGACACCAAGACTCGCAAGGTCCAGAGCTGGTACGCGTGAGCCAAGCCGGACAAAGGAGAAGGTCAACACAGGCGAGCCCACGTGAGCAAAGGACCTCAAGAACAGTGCCAGGCCCAACCTAGCGGCCGCAAACACCAAGGCCGCCGGTCCCGGCCATGCAAACGACCTCACCGAAGTTGCCGGCCCCAGGAACACGTTGTCCGGCGCTGACAAGCACAAGTCGAAGCGCGCGTACCCGAAGGCCGAAGTAGTGGAGCCCAAGGTCGCAGGCTCCTTCGCCGGCATCGAAAAGTCGAGATCCCGCTCAGGCGCCATGGGGAGCGTAGAGCCCGGCCGACAGAAGCTCCGAATGAACGGGAAGAGGCCCAAACTCGCGAAGCTCATCGCCGGCACAGCTAGGCCCAGCCGGGCAAAAGCGCGGAGCGAGGAGGAGAGGCCAAGATGCAAAAGGTCCAAGACCGGCACCGGCAGCTCCAACATAGTCACACCTGGGCAAGTCAACTCCCAGGTGAGACTTGACAAACACATGTGTTGCAACTTCAACCCAACAAGTTCCCATGGGCCTCAAGTATCTCAAACATGAACACACCTGCCACGGGTATGAACAAAATTGAAACAACGCGGATTTGGGCGCCCGGTCATGACACCTCCGACGCAGACCCTGGGACTGAACTTAAACGGGAACACACTTCTTAAAGGGTATATGATATATTCTGAGCAAACCAAACGGTTTTCCCCGGTAAATGCATCCTTTGCTTGTGAGGAAGTAACATCATACCTCGGATTTGGGTGCAGGGGGTACATATCCAAAAATCCAAAAGTTGAGCCATTCCCTTCCACAGTTGTCATAGAGTGCTTGCAGGGCCGCTTCCCATTTCTCACCTTGGGTCTCAGAGAGAGCCCGCCCCCCCCGGAAATCAAGCTGAGGCTTCAAAGAAACATGTTTAGAGTGGGAACCCCAAAATGGCAAGCGCCCTGGCAACTGGAAACAAGGACTAAAACCTGCGGTTCATATCCTGGTTCATTTTGACTCATACCCAGCTGAACACGTCAAACATCTGCCAGGTCCTCCAGTAAAGAGGTTAGAATAAGTTGGTACCCGATTCTTCTCCTGTAGTCTATTTTAGTAGGGGAACCCTCCCCCCAAAAAAGAAGCGGTGAGAAAGGGCACCAATTGCTGGGGGACCCCCCCCTGTCTGGGAGGTTCAGCTTCCAGCCGAGGAGCCGCAGGCCGAGAGCGCGCTGCCAGCCCGTGTGCAGCTGTGCAAAGGGATGGCTGGGCCCAGCTGATGCGCTCCAGACACCGGCGCCTGGAAAAGGGAACCGGCGCCTGGAACCCCAAGTAGCCCATAATTTGGTCAAAGTAGCTGGAAAATACAGGCAACTGGGGATCTAGGTACTGTGGGATGGTTGCGAAATCCACTTCTCGCACTAAGAAACCCTGGAAGGATTCGATTCCCCTGTAGATACCCACAAACAATGGCTTTGCTTGTGGGATGGTTGCGAAATCCGCTTCTCGCACCAAATCATCGTTGAAACCATAACGTTTGTTGGCATCCACAGGGGAATCACCAGAAACCAGGGTTTCTTAGGTGCAGGATTTCGTCCATCCACAGTATGTGCTCCAAAACGGCGTGCCCAAAGTCTGGCCCCCGTTTTGGGTCCGAGGACCCAAGGATGTACCAAGGGACCCGTTTTGACATCCCCAAAAGCCATCTACAGGGTCTGGAATCGGGTAGGAACTGGGTCATTGTGAACCTTTTGCTTACAGGATGTGTTTTTGTCCCCGTGTTGACCATCGTTTAGTCAAGGGCAAAGATGCCACATCTACATCCTAAGTTGCCCCAGTTGAAGTGATACTAAAACCAAGCAAACGTCCGATGCTTGCCAACTGCTATGACCATCTGCCCAAGACGTGTGCTCTCGCCCAAAAAGACGCCTCCCCATAGAGCTATGGATCCAGGGTCCCTTGGAAACGGATGCCACCTCTTCTTCTCTTTTTGAATGGGGTGTTCGCTCGCAGTGGGGAAGATGCAACCGCTGCTTTCTTTCCTTCTTTTCGGGCCCCGCGAAACTGTAGGCTCAAGGGCTTCGGGTCTCAAACCCGGACTTTTGCCTTCAGTCTGTGGATGGCTTCTCGGCATAGCTTATAGTCAACTTATAGCGGTTGGTGGGGTTGTTTTCCCAAACAAGGCTCAATCATCGAGTTGCCAGTGCCTGGTCCTTTCGGGATGGATATCAATGTGTATCTGAGTCTGAAGAAGTTGCCTTCTGGTGATACATTCCATCCGACCATGTTTGACTCGCTTAGGGAAATCGCCAAGGGCCACTCATAGGATGCGGCCGGCCCCAACCCCAACCATTCTCCACCATGCAAGCAAACTCATTGCCAGAATAAAACGATGGAGGCACACCACACGCCCGGAAAGCTAATGGGCGAACACCCGAAACCGCTGCGTGACTCCGGTCGAACAATGTGCCCCTCTTGCCAAAATTACCGGGTCCAAAGCAAAACCGGATCCAAATATGTTTCCCCCATCGGGCTCTTACCGGGTCAAAACAACAACCCGGCTGCCGGTTCTGCGCTCCCCCCAAAAAAATGATGCCGAGCAGCTGGAGGGCTCAAGCGCCCAAAGCTCCGCGAGGACGTGAAACTGCCCGAGGCGGCCCAGTTCAGCGCCGGGATCGAGGCGCCGAGCCGCGCGCAGCTCGCGGGGGCCGAGGAGGGGCCGAGGCGCACGGCGCTGCGCGGCGGAGCCGCCGGGCCGAAGTGGGCGAAGTCTGAGGCGGAGGCCGCGGGCTCCGAGCGGGAGAAGCTGCGCACCGAGGCCGTGGAGCCGAGAACCCCGAAGTCGAAGACGGAAATGGCGACGTCCGGGTGGGCAAAGCTGCGCGGAGCAGCTGGCGATTCGAGGTGGCCAGAGTCGGACGAGGAAACTGAGAAGCCCGCAACGACGCGCCCAGGAGCCGAGGCAGCAACGCCCGAGCGAGCAACGGATCGCAGAGATGAGGGGGAGCCCAGCCACGTGCTGGCCAAGGCCGGCAGGACAAATCCAATGTGTGAGAAGCTGCGAGTGAACGGTGCAGCTTCGGAGTGTGCCAAGTTCAGCACCAACGCCGCCAACTCAGCGCACAAGAGGCTGCGCGCCGACGAAAGCGGCCCGAGGTGGGCAAGGTCAGGAGCAGAAACTGCGGAGCCCAAACCACGACCGCAGATGGAGAGTGCGAGGTCAACGTGGGCGAGACTCCTGAAGGGGTGAGAGAGCAACCGCGGGGATCCCTGCAGTGTAGGTGACCAACCATTTTCTTTATTTTATTTTTAAAGGGTGGGTCCTCTTGAGTACCGCTACGGGTAAATGGATCCGCCTTGGACAACAACCTGCAGCCCAGTTGCTCAGTTGCTGATTCCCATCGTCAACCCTACCGTTGGGTGCTTTTGTTGAAGCAAAAGCGTAAATCGAACTAGTTGTTCAAGGCAACTGCAAGATTCACCCATATACTTGTCTTGCACAAGCCGTGGTTCCCAGTTAGACTCATTTGTGAAGTAGGTGAGGCTTATACTGGATTAGACCATCATCCCTCTAAAGTGAAAGCCTGAGAAACCACCCAAATGAACGGAAGTTCTGCAAACCTCGCAAATGCCTGTCCCTCTCTTTCGGCCTTTCAGAGGCCTTTCGACCTGGCAAAGAGCTATGCTTTATCTTCAAGCCCGATGTCCGAACGGCAACCCTTCGGTCAACTCAAACTCAGTCGCCAGTGATGAAAGGACTCGAGTTCTTCATGGACTCCTCCTTGCTGGGGTCAAAAGTGGCTTGGTCGTTGCATCTGATTTGATGCTCAACGTGACGTCTAGGGAAGTTTGCATGTGGACCTAGTCAACTGGAAGTGTACCTCACAATGGCAGGAGATTCCAATGGCCGTTCAAACCAAGCCTTCTTGAGTTCAACCCACAAATGGAAACAGACCCTTCGCCCTCAAAAACCAAGTAATAAGGTTCACCCCATTGCAACCCCAGAAGCACCCAAACACCAAGGGAAGCGACTCCCAATGGTTCTTAGATGTCCATCTCCTGAACACTTCCCTGCAAAATCCAAGGCTTGCGACTCTCACTGGCTCTTAGATACGCACAACGATGGCTTCCTTCCTCTGGGTCTCTTAAAATAAATCTGCTTGAAACCGCCGAAGTGGCTCATGAACTTGGAGCCGAGATGTGTAAACCGCCCCGGCCCACAAGGCCCCCCCCAAGCCGCGAAGAAAAAGCCACGCGCCTC